GTGTGTGTGTGTGTGTGTGTATGTGTGTGTGTGACTGAGTGTATGTGCGTGTGTTATTTATAATCGTTGCAGGCAAATCACTGGCCCCAAGTGGGCTTATGATTTTTACAACAGCTCAGACAACTAAGTCAGTACATTCGGAAATGGGGGAAAGGTATCAGCTTCTAAAAACAATATTATAGTAAATTAAGATTTTACAAAATAAAGATGTTTCTGGGAAAACGAAAAAAAGAACGTTAGCTTATACTGCACTCGGTATATTGAAGAAAAATGGATGCACTTTTTAGCGTTAAATTTGATATCTCATTAACAAAACTCCGGGGGATAAATAAAAAAACAACAACATATAAGACTTTACATAATAACTGACATTTATTGACAATGCTGATATATCGACATTCTCTATGGCCAAAGGCGTAAATGTGATTTGTCTAATGTTCTAGTGTCGAATGTCTCCGTCTTTATCATCGCAATGTGTCGCCTTTGCCTGCCAACATGCAATCTGCAAATGGGTCCTCGGTGGATTAAGCTCAACAGTGAGGGAAAAAAACAAACAACAATGCAACAAAAAAAGACATTTGAAGAGAAAAAATGATAAAGAAAAACATTTAAAAAGCAAAACCCCAAAAAACAAAACAAAATAAAACAAAACAAAACTCAACATGACATGTCAGATCAGACAACTTGAGCCGTTTCCATGGAAACGCTATGATTTCTTGAAGGCTGTGTGTATTTCTGAATCATTATCGGATCACAATACCGTTGACGTCATAGTAGATCGCGTCTTCCGCATGACAACGGATCGGGGGAAAACAAGAGGCTGATCTATCCAGCTCTATATGGATGGTTTGAAAGAGTATTTTAAAGTGTTTTTGCCATGGCATTGCATCTTCAGCTATTACAAATCGACTTCAGAAAAAGACCATACAATGCTTTTTATTTCTGTTATTGCTATATTCTTTCCCTATCGTTTTTATTTTTATTTTTACTTTTATTATTCTTTCTTTCATTCTTTCCTTCTTTCTTTCTTTCTTTCTTCATTTATTTATTTGTTTGTTGATTTGTATATAGAGAGGAACGATGAGACATTGACAGTCGATAGTGCTAGGGAAAAACGAGAGGGGATAACTCACAGAGAGGAACGAGAGAGGGACGGGAGGGAAGTAAGACATATACAGGACACAACCCACCACAATCTTCTGGCTAACAACTCAGCTGATGTCACATGTTAGGTGGGTGTCAGGATAAAAAAACAACAATACAAAAAGTTATATTTTCTTTCATCAGTTTACGTGCCTACAAATAAAGACATACACATAAACACACACACACACACACACACACACACACACACACACACACACACACACATACACATACACACAAACAAACAAACACAAACGCATACACATACATGCACTCACACGCACACCTTAACACTCACACAAACTCAAACACATAAACACATACACACACAAACAGACTCACAACAAGAATGTTTTTCTTTACCCTCTCTCCCACACCAAAGAGGTCAGTGTGTTGCATGAAAGGTGTGGTGTTTAACGTTTCATTATTCAGAAGCACTTGACCCATCGTATTGACCATGTCTGGTCTTTGGAGCATATCAAGGTAGTAAATATCTGAACGGAGGGATCCGTCGTGATCCCGACAGAATTTTGGATTTTGTGAAGGCCATTGGCCTTTATGGGAAATTGTAGAATGAAACAAAAATGTTAAAAAAATTTATGTTATTTTAGAAAAGTTGTTTTAGATGGAAAATATATTTACACAAAATTTTAATATTTTACCATTTTAAAATCTAATTATTGACCCGAGCCCAGCCGTACAG